GCTAGTGACTCGCGCTAGCGATGCTAGTGGCTGCTAGTGATGTTGCTAGTGACTCGCGCTAGCGATGCTAGTGGCTGCTAGTGATGTTGCTAGTGACTCGCGCGAGCGTGCGCACAGCCAAGTATGCCACCGCCGACAACGTCAGAATAATGAGATTCGGAATAATTATACAGGTACGCTGACGATCACGCACCTGCTCGTCACGCGCACCTGCCACCCGGCACACGCGCAGGCACGCACACCTGCCACCCAGCACACGCGCAGGCACGCACACCTGCCACCCAGCACACGCGCAGGCACGCGCCGCACACACTAGCGCGAGCTCTAACAATGAAATACTACCACCGAGTCATAGCACGTAAAAGTCTACACGCGATAAGGAATCCGGGAGTCACCGACTGCCAGTTGTTTCCGCGTGCATAATTGACGAGGCAATCCACTACGGCTTACGCGTTGATTGCCGGTTGCGATTAATTATTGATTTTATTGCCTTGCAGCTAAAGTGTACACGTGCTTTAGGCGCTTCTCTGTTTTCAAAAGGTGATCAATTAGGTGCCAATTGTGCACTTGAAAGCATTGCGACAGATGTACAGCTGTACAGTGAATGCGTAAATAGAAACTGGAAAATTAGTTTTGCACACATGTATGCACACGGCTCCATGTTAGTTTTGGACAGAACTTAAATCTGTCTTCTCAATTTAAATTCGGTTTTACCCCTTATTTACATGAAAAAAATCTTTCCTAGGCTCTAATTAAGCAAACAAATAAATTACATTATAAAATGGCCAATGCAGTTTTGTTCAAAAATTATATTCATGCATGGCAAAAACATTTAATCCAAACGGAAAACTTATCAAACTGATATATGTATACATACGTTCAAGAGCATATATGAAGAACCTTCTTTATATGCTCTTGATACGTTATATCAATATAATCAGAAGTGTATAATATAGAGTGTCTACATTATACACTGCTGATATAAATATATGATTCTGTCACTGTCAGGGTAAAATGTCAACAGAATGTCATGAACATTTATTAATCATTTCGGTTTCAATCAAAGTGTAACTAAGTACTCCTAAACTGTATTCGGCCAGGCCAGCACGTGACATTGCTAAACTAATTGGAACCCCTACACATCTAGTCAATAACTGATAACACATACGTCATCGTAACACAGGGGTGGATCCAGAGGGGGGGTTGAGAGGGTCCGGACCCCCCCTTTTTACCACAGGAAAAAAAGCATACACACACATGCACGCACGCGCGCGCACACACGCACGCACGCGCACGCACACACACACACACTTCTCTTATATTGTCTCCATAAAAAAATCTTGTTTAGCACTAGTTTTTCTGATAAAGATTTACTATATATATATATGTAACTTAGTTATAAAAACCTAGAAATGGGCAAAGAGAGGGCCTGCAAGCGTCCACCGGATCTGATAAATTTTTGCATTCTAGACATCAAAATTACTGCTCAGATGCTCTCAGGATATGCACCAATTTTTTTTTTTAATCTTGGGGGAGGTCCCCCGAACCCCCCAGCCCCCACCTAAATGGCCATCGGCAGCTTTTTAAAACACCAGAAAAAGTAAGCAGGAAAAAGTGCCCTTTATTTCTTCTTGGACACCCCCTGTAACATGTAATATGTAATATGTAACGATGTATTATTAATTTATTATCATTAGTTATTCACCCGGTACTATAGCGACTATATACCAGGTGGCATGCTGGCAAATAGAAAGCTGCGGGGTTTCTACGGATTACTGTGCATTACACATATCAGTTGGATGAATCACTCACCATACACACTGGGGCTCAAAACAAACCATGAGCTGCTATTGTCAGAACAAAGCATAGTAGTTTTATTCCCTTAGTAGCAAAACCATTCTGAAGAACCATAGACCTGTGTGTAATCAGGCAGTGAATAATGACAGTCTGTCACTATTCACCCCTGATGTTATTACCTCCGCGCAACGGAGTTGCAGGGAGGTAGACGGAGGCCTGGTAAGTGTCCACCACCTGCCTGGTCGACTGTAACTCCTTCTCCAGATTGGCAATGTTTTGGACAAACCTGCAAATTTCGCACACATCCGTATATAATTTAACATATCAGCATATAATTCTAATTGCTAATCACGACATGTAGTTATAGTATGTTACATATTAAAACAGATGTTAGCATTTTCAGATCTTTTTTTTTGGCATCTTTGCGTTCCGGTTTATGATTTATTTTACGTTGTTAATATTTTTTTCATTTATTTTTACGAATTTTACGTGAATTTCTGAATTGTTGCCTGACTTTTGCTAAAAATTGCCTTTAGTTTAGGTTTTCAGTCAAAGTAAAACACTACCTTTGCTTCTCTATCCGCATTTCGTTTTCATAGTCTCGCTTCCACTTGGATTTCATTGACATGATTTCCGTCTGTAATATAAAAGATGACGTGGAAATTCCTAACATGTTATAAAGATGACAAAGTCCCAGTGAAAAAATTCACTAGAATTCAGTCTGGTTGCATAATAGTAATAGGATCATATGCATCATGGAATTTACTATCAAATACCATGCACAGACCCCATACAAATAAATCTAAGTCAATGCAGAGTGATAAGGTCTCATGGTAGGGGAACTATGATGCTACACCTAATTACTGCAATGTTTTAAAGATCTCCTGATTAGATACGTGAACAAATAAAGACCCATTCACTGACACTCATTAGCCTTCATAAAATCTTTGAAATTTCACCAGTCGGGCTGCGCTAGGCATACTAACCCACTCAGAAATAACTCGATAGCAACCACGAATGCGCAGCAAAGCATTTAGAGAAAAGATCCATAGCTCCCATGTGTTTTGCCTACATATCCGGTGCATGTATAATCCGTGAATACGTCACGTTGTCTGGTTAATTAATGCAGATGTGAGAACAACTTTACTATAGTATGCAGTAGTATGCAAGGTTACTATATGATGAACAGTTGGCTTCAACTCACTAGTACTCTGTGTCTGATCTCGTTGCACCAGTCGGCCCATCGTCTGTCCAACGCAAACACGTCCGCATCCAGAGAAATGTCAGCTTCCACCTGATCTTGTAACGACTCCATCGCAGCTAGAAACTCACCTGCATGTGGTAATATGTTAGTTTTAGCACCTGGTCATAACTCATCGAACAAATTCTACACGAATGTGTGAACGACAACAAGCGAACGTAGGATTAGGGAGTTGAGGTCTCATTCGTAATTAGCACTAGAAAATTACGCCAAGCCGACCTCACAGCTGACACCAAGGTCAGTGCCAGTGTTTAATATTAAAGCTAATATTAGTAATGACATCACCAGCTCATTGGTAGATCTATGCAAAATAAATGCTACGCAGCATCAAATTCCACACAACAATTATTAATAGGAACACCCTGCAATATTTCTGATTAGGCATATTATGGTGGGGTTTTATGAGTCTATAATCATTGACAGATGAACCGATGCAACCATTTTTGTGTGGTTTAGCCTTCATATGCTTTATAGTCAATGGCACTATTGGAGTCAATTAGTAACCCACAGAATATAGAGTCTATGAGATAGTTTCCAAATTGTCCCATGCATCCTAAATTTCAAGGTTATAGTTGATAAAGTTAGTTATGGTAGTATAGTTATTTTGCAAGCATTTTTTTTATAGTTAACAAAGAATTTTTCCTAACAGAGACCAATCATCTAAGGTCTGTGGTGAAAAAGCTCTGTCATATGCAACAGGATTTGGCAGGCAAGGTGGGAGAGGGCAACTGCTATTTTCCGTACTGTATGGTTTTTATACTTAATGTGTTTACATTCAGTATGCAGAACAGAACATTACAAGTAACAAAGGATTTATAACTGTACACGCTAGAAACCAACCCTACGTGAGAAACCACAACTGCCCACAACAGCTACAGTCACTTTCCACTAATATAAATGTAAGTATCTATAGACTATACATGACCCATGCCTATCTAGTCATTACGTCCAGTGAATGTGTCATTAAATACCAATTCATTGGTTAATCACTGGACTGAACAATAACACTTTGCTGTAATGACCTCAATCAATAATACATTATTGACTTTCACCTTATATGGCAAGTGATCATTAACAACCAGAAAGGCAGAAACAAAAACGTACAGGTACGGGTAGATACTACCGTGTACTGCTGATAGAAACACAGACTAAATACAAAACAAACACCATTATGCTGGACCTTTGCTGCAACTGCATCATTTGGACATGATTGATTTTCACTTTACATCAATAGGCAACTAGTAACTATCAGGCCAGATAGGGCTGATAGTGATATATAAATGATTTAAAAGTATAATAAGGTCGATACTACTAGATGTTGCATAACTGCAGTTATAAGTGCTAAGATTAAACACAAAACACGCATACATATTCTCACATACGCACGCATGCGCGCACACACACGCACGCACGCACGCACGCACGCACGCACGCACACACACACACACACACATGCACTCACACGCACGCACGCACGCACGCACACACACACACACACACACACGTTGTATGCACTCACACTTCTCTTTGTCTCCGGCGGCGGTGAACTGAACCTTTGATTTGCCGAGTCGATCGGACGCGTTGCTGGTGGCGCTCTCACACGTGTTGTTGAGCGGGGAAGGGCGACACTCCACTAGCGTGGCGAGGAAAGGTCTGTCTGTTCCTTCTAATGTAGAATCCTCATATGCTGAGCCAGGAGTGGAAGGCACCCGCGTCACTCCTGACACGCCTTTCCAACCTGCGAAGAAGACAAATTATTATTATTTATTATAAAATCTTTATAAATTATTGCATTTAATTCAAATACAAATAAGTGTACTGAAACAGACTTTTTCAGGAAGAAAAAATCTGATGGATGCAACTATTAGGGTTAAGAGCCACAATAGTAACATACTACAAATATACAAAAACAAGAGCCGCAGAGCGTCTGGGCTCATCTGAGGACTGTTGCTACGGTTATAAACGTAACATTTAAGTCGTGCGTAGTGACACCTTATACCCTTTGTTTAGGCGCAGATATGCAGATATGCAGTTGCGTACACATCATTTCAGCAACCTTCTGCATTCTGCATACCTCCCAAATCCCATTGGTTGATACAAATCGCGTGCCTGAAACTCCTGTTTTATGGTGCATTGTGACCCAAACCCTAACCCTATTAAAAAACAATTAATTGTAAAAATTATTTGTTAAATAAATCATGTAAATATTTGTGTTAATTGGAAAAAAATAGTTAAATGGATAAAGATAGAAAAATACATAAAACAGGTAAATAATAAAAAATCTGATAGGATTCGATCCAACGACCTTTGAGCCGTGACGCCTGTGCTGTACCCGTTCGGCTATCCAGGCTTATTGGCTTTCTAGATTATGGATGTGCCATGAATATATGAGAACACTGTGACATCATTGAGACAGTTCAGGAATCCATGTTTAATCCACCTCTTGAGAGTCAGGTTATCAGACACTTACTCTTCGCACGTCAGTGAAAAGTACATTTCATGGCCCCGTCCTTTCAATAGAGTGATAAAAATGGTAGGTCAGCGCTGAAACAAAAAAGTTTTTCACTCTTCTGTCCATATAGGAGGGGCAAATGTCCATCAGGAGAAATGTCTGATAGTCCGTATGACCGCTTTCCCCACCCACCTAGCTTCGTAGTTCTTTGGACCTGTAGACCATACAAGATCGCAATTTCGCACTGGTGATGGGTTTCCTGCCCATCACAACTATAACAGCGAATATTAAGAGCATATGGTGGAGCGTTCAGATTTGTGCGGCAATTCACATATTTCTCCTATACCTTAAGTAAAGGGGAAATATTCCCCCTCCGTTTACACATCATCTTGACCTTTGAACCCTTGACCA